CCGGGGACCTGGGCGAATATGGCCGCGTCACTCGCGGAGAAAGCCGTCCATCCATCCATCCATCGATCTCTCCGTCTATCGGCGACGGATCGCCCCCCGCTTTCGGCTCCTTCGTTCGCGGGGAGGGACGGGCGGAGAAGGCGGAGGAAGAGAAGGCTCCGGAGGAGGAGGAGGAGGAGGAAGAGGAAAAGTTTACGGCGCAACGCATTTTTTTAAGCAGTGGGAGGAAACTCTTCCCGAAGCTGGAGAGGGGCCGGACGTTTTTTGTTACATAGTTTGCAGAGGGTTTTTGGGGGGGAGGTCGGCTTTCCCTGCTACTTTTGGGGGGGAGGATGGCTTGCAGCCTTTGAGGGAAACGTGCGCCTGTATTTCTTCCGCGCTTTGCCCTTCTGGTCGTTTTCGAGGACGGGGGGCTGTTAAAAAAAAAAAAAGATTTCCCGGAGGGGGAATTGGCGGGGGGGGGGTTGCCAAGGAGAGGAAAACGGCTCCTTTTGGGTACGCGGTGCCGGTTCCGAAAAGCAGACACAGCCGGGCTGGAAACCCAAATGATATTTGCAACTGGTGGGGGGTGGTAGCCAATGCATGCATGGCCTATTTTCGACTTATTTGGGGAGGGGAATCGAAAGCCAGGGATCGCGATCGATACAGGACTTCTGTGGCTGATGTACACGCCGCGAGGTCTTAAGTGGCGATATCTGCTGGCGAGCGCGGCGATGGCGTCCGCTCAGGTATCTAGCAACTAAGGGGAGGCGGGTCGATTGCTTAAGCGGCGGTGCCATTCACACGTCCCTCTGGGCCATAACCTTGAGCCGGGCTTTGCGCATGCTGCAAACGAGGCCCACCGAGAGAGAATCAAAAGGACAAAGCCAAGTCCCCTTCAGGCTGACCTTCTTCAGGTTGAGCTCAACCATCTGGCTCTCAAATCCTTTCCCCCTCTGGAATACGCAAGAGGATGCTTAGCTCTGCCTGGGACTACGAAGACGAGAATGCCAGGCCAGCCTCTAAAATGCGTGCCAGAGACTTGGGGCTTCTATTTCCAGGGTGCCAGTATGCACGGAGAGGCTCCCTTCCCCAACCTGGTGCCCCCAATGTGTCAAGCTGGGCCGGGCCACCCTCTCCCTGAATGAGGGAGCCTTACAAAGACTCCAAATTCCAGGATGAAATCACTTAGGAAACCCGAATTCAAGCAAACCCTAGCTTCCTGCAATGTGGGAATCCAGGGGAGAGGTTTGAAGCAAGGAAAAGTTTGTGATCTCAGTATGTTCTTGGCAGCAGCAGGATCCGCTCCCCAGTGAGGAGAAAGGAGGGGGCTGCCTCGTGGCAACTCTTCCGGGGGTTGAAGTCTACACAGCTTCAAGCTGCCAAGGTGGAACAACGCTGGCCTAGACTGTTGACCAGTTGGCGCTACCGGAAGCTGGGGCTGGTGCCTGAGGCTCGAATTACTTCCTACTGAGGAGCTGTCAGTTCTTCCCCTGTATCTGTTTCCTCCCCTCCATCCCCATAGCTGCCCGCGCGGTTTTAACTTAGGGTGAAGGCAATACCACCTTCTGAACTTGGTCCCACATGTGGCCATGTTCGTCACCTCTCATGGAAGTGATGCTCCTCTTGTTAAACTGCCGCTCCCTTTAACTGTCTTTCTTCCCCCAGCTGAGGTCTGGGGTTTCTCGATTACGCCAAGAGGAACAGCTCCCAAAAACCGCCTTTTCTCAAGCAGGCATGTTCCACTTCTTGAGGGACTACAACTCCCAGAATTCCTGGGTGAAACTCTGACATTAAAGGCCCTGTAATGTTTGAATTGCAGATTTTGCCTTGGCCTGCAGCCACCGGGCCAAGGTTAACTAGGAATACGAAAAGGTACCTGCTGAACAAAAAAAGAGGTGGCGAGTTGGTTGTGGTGGGAGAAATTCCTCTCGTCCTTTAGGAGAACATAGGACACTGAAGGGAAAAAGCCACACAGTTCTTTGACCATGTAATTTCTTTCTTTCTTTCTTTTATTATTGTAACGTTAAGCTTTTCATAAGCCGCCCCGGACATCTGTCACAGGGCTGCGTATAAATAAAAGTAAAATAAGCTAAGGCTTTCTGCATTTAAAAACTGAGCAAGTCAAGTCATTCACAGCTGAACAAGGTTCATGTTCCCCGGAGGTACCCAGGCTCAGAGAATCCCAAACACTTCCCTTGCGATACGAGGAACTGATCCGAAGCACGCTCCCAGCTGGCAAAAGGCAAGCAGAGCAAAAGCGGCCGTAGAGCCCCACAGCAGCATCTCTGTGCGGCGGGCAAGTCTGCCGCAGCCGGAGTGGCGGAATGACGGAAGGCAGCCGAGGCAGACCGGGGAGGGGAAAAGATGGAACAGTATATCATGCGGGGTCTCGACAGAGAACCTCTGCCTCGGAGGAGGAGGGCTCCAGGCTCACGGAAGCCTCGCCGGGCAAAACAACTTGGCGATTCGTAGAATATGCTGATCCCACAGGGTCACCATCAACCAAACACAGGACGCCAAGCTGGTTAGAACAGTAGTTTCTCTTTTGTCTCTTTTTAATTGGACACCCCCAAGATCTTGACACCTTGCGGGGCGGCGGACAGGTTTTATACAATCTCAAATGTTCAATAGTGCAACCTGTGCAAGCAGGAAATATGACAAACATTGTCCTTCACTTTCTTATAAACATCTACTATTATAGGCAAAACAAGAACTTACCCATATTCTCAGATAAGTGACTATTCACATTTTGTACATATACAGTTTTAAACAGTTCCAGGATAAACTCTACAATGTCTTACAAACGTAAAACAGGAAGTATTTAAGTTATGGGGCAACAGAAAAAAAAAAAGAAAATAAAGAAAACCAACAACCCAGCATAGAAGCCGGGACCCTCACGTCGGGCTGCCCCCCACATATCTAGTCTACAGCTCAAGTAAAATTAACAAACAAACAAAAAAAAAACCCCAACAAAAAATTGTAAAAAAGGAGTTGCAATGGGAAATGGAAGTAAATTTGCACTTTAGTTTCCTGAAAATAAAGGAAACATTTGAGAGAAGGGGGAAAAAAGGCCTTTTACAAAGCTGTTCTTGCATTAGGAACACCATTAATCTATTTTTTTTAAAGGAATTTCTTAAAAAAATTAAGGTGGTTTCTTTGTACACGCACACATACACACACAGCCAAAAAAGGAGAAAGTAAAAGGGAAAAAAAAATCCATGGAAGATTCAAATATATAACCTCTAGGAGAAAATACAGTCACTGGGCAAGACACCATTTGAAGAAAAAGAAGAAAGAAATCCAAATGCATTCCTCGCAGCTGCATTGAGACGGTCTTTCTCTTGCCCCCGTTGACCTTCCCTGTAGGCGAACCTGCTGATGCTACATCCAGAGACACGCACGGCCCAAAGATGACACAATCTGCAGGGTTCAAACGTCTAGGTTTTCATGCTGCTGCTTTAAATAAAATGTACTTTTTAATAGTTTGAGACCTCCTCTGCCGCCAATA